CATACGGATAAGTATAATGAGAAGACTCACCTCTCGCTGGAAAGTAAACAATCTCGCACTCGAAATGTCGATCTAGACCCCGCCTAATTATATCACATTCCATTTTAATTAATAATTCATACTAATAACCTCTGAATGTAAGACCAAATCTCTCTACAAAATCCTAGAGGGTAAAAAGACCATTTTGCCCCTCCTTGGTTAAAGGTCCACAATTTGGTCAAAAACTCAAAATTCAATAAAAGTCAACACCCAACGAGTATGTTGGGCGTACAACCCTCTACCTAGGCATACAACTAGCCATGCATGCATCGGGGTTGACTCAGCACTACGATGCGCGTAACTAGGAGTCCGCACGGTGTACTCCCCAGACTTCCATGTTTCACTTTATTTGGTCTTAATCCGTTAAGACAATTGTTACCACTACATATCTGAGCTGAATAAGGTCCATTACTTCATAAAGTCGTTGACTTTAAGCCTTAGCATGGATGAACAAGTCCCAAACTCACAAAATCTAACATTCTTAACATATGAGTCCATAAAGCTCATGCATGTAGAGATTAAGACGACCAAGCTCCCGTTTTTATGAATCTAAATAGCCAAATACACCTAAAAGGACAAGATTTAAGCTCTGGAGTTCATCAAACTCACAAAGCTCTAAACTTGGGACATAAAACCCTAGAAATGGACCCAAAACATGAACTAATCAAAACAATGAGCAAGTTTCAAACTTGATACATTTGGATGATGCACCAATAATAAAAGAACTCAGATCCAAGAGCTAGAATGTCATACCCCAAAACCGGAACGGCGGAAACGTTATGGGATGGATGATGTCATGTTTAGTACTACAAGACATGCATCATAGTAATCAAAGTAAATAAACAACCATTTCATTAGAAAGAAAGTTTTTACAAAGTATGTGTTCACAAAACATAGAATACATAAGCAAATAACAAAACAAGACTTGAAGCTATACTACTTCATCTTCTGATTCCCAGCGCGAGTACCTGTCTACTAGTTTCCTGAGAATACAAGTTATTTGAAAGAGTTTATCAGCAATTAAGCTGGTGAGTTCATAAGATTTTAGTGATGTAAGTAAGTTGTAGAAAGCATAGTAAATTGTAAGTTATGTTTTAGAAAAGTTCGCATGTTCCTCTAGAAAATCCTATATTTCCTGCTTTGATGAAATATAAGTAAAAATGACTCTACAATCCTTTCTATGAGTACTAAATGGATACAAGTTATATAAAACTCAGAGTAAACAAGCAATCAATTGTGTGTACCTGCCATAAGCCCACAACCAAACATGGAACACGAAATGGGGCGGATGACACACATCCCATTGGTTGTTAGATCATTGTTGTATATAACCCTGGTGTATTGGTACTCACGAAGTTAACTATAATAGTTCCTTTATATTTGATGAAAATATCCTTTAAGAAAACCCTTATTTCTTATAATAAAATAGTAACCACAGTGGTTCCTTCTATAGTCACTTAGTTTATACTAGCTATATATAATCTAATATCGAATAGATAGTTACTTGTGCGAATCTACCCTAAGCCCACAACCAAACAAGGAACATGAAATGAGGCGGAGGCACACATTTAACTATCTATCGAGTATTAATTATATATAACTATGATGTATAAACTAAGGTATTATAGGATTAATCACCTAAGGTCATTTAAGTTATATTGGTTTAATAAAATGGATTAAACCCTTTACTGGTAAGTTTCTAGTTTTGTATAACAAAAGTTCTGAGTTAAAAGTATGTTTTGTAATAGAAAATTGTGCATTGTATTAGTGTCCTATGACTTGACCCATACCTGGTACCCCTTATGATGACTTAATGTATATGGAACATATATATAACTAAGATCGAATGGATAATAGGCTGGGTAAATCCGCTCTAAGCCCACAACCAAACAAGGAACAGAAAATGAAGCGGAAAGCACACATCCTATTAACTGTCGGATCCTATTAATATATATCCCTTGATGTATACATCGAGGAATCATAAGGTTAGCATTATAGGTCCCTTTTTCCACTTAATATTCATGTTACGAGTAAGTTATGTATCTTGTTTATTATCGTCGGGTACTTCACAGATGTACCCGTTACAAATAACTTAGGTTGGATAATATTATCACCTCGTGCCTGCTAACCCTGGTACGTGAAATCATACCAATGTCAACGCAAACCTGAAAAGATATATTATTAAGTTTACCACCTCGTGCCTGCTAGTCTTGGTACCTGAAATCGTACCAGTGTCAACGCAAACCCGAAAAGATATATTATTAAGTTTATCACCTCGTGCCTGCTAGTCCTGGTATGTGAAATCGTACCAGTGTCAACGCAAACCCGGAAAGATATATTAACGTGATTTTTCCCGGTACTTGTTATAGTAAGTTCGTCTATGTACTTGTTATAACATGTTTCTCCTTGTTTCTTTTTATTTTGTGTTCTCTTATGTTATCGGGTATTGTATCTAGTATGAACTGAACCTCTAAATTATACACATTATAGTTTACTAGCATGTTTACTTGAACTGTTATTGAAAAGACTCATTTATCTACTAAGTTATGTTTGTGCTTTAAAAACGGAGATTTGTTAAACTATAAAGCAACATAACTTTAAAAGAGTTTTGAAATGTTTTGATCACTTATATAAGACATAAGCAATCTTTTGAAAGATGTTTATAACAACCATTTACACAATTATCATTGTGTTCAACTTGTATTCCCCCCTTAGACGCATTTAAAACAGTTTAAAAGATTAATTACGGGGTATAAACTCACCTGATGTAGGTGATTCAAAAAAATACGCATGTAAGGATGAGAAGTTCTACGAATGAAGTTCTGAGACTTAAGGAATCCTAAATGACATATAATGGCATATATTGACATAAATATAGCGTTTGGAAGCAACCAAATGCAAGGAAACACCTCATGGGACTAGGAAACACTTTGACCAAGTGTTGGAATCACATATGATTGGACTAAGGGGTGTTTAAGACCAAGAAAAGGTGTTTATGGCCAGGGTGTAAACTCATGGTCGTAAACTCATGGAAATGTGCATAATAGGGTGTTTGAATGCTAGGGAAACTTGAGGGACCATTGCTCTTCACAAGGATGAGCAAAACCAATGTTTTGGAGGGTGTTGAGGTGTTTACGGCCAGGGTGTAAACCCTATGGCCGTAAACTCACCAAATGGACTTATTTTGGGTCTAAAAGGCAAGGAGTTTCAAAGGTTCAAGTGTTCTAAGGGTTAGCAAGGGTCTAGAAGTGTTTAAGGTTCAAAGAAACAAGAAAGCAACCAGATCTAAGGCACCATAACAGGAACGCAATCGACTCCTTATGAATCACTAATCTGACTCCTCGTAAATCTCAACATCATTGCATCTGTAATATTGTTTCTCCTTCTCGTATACACAATCTCACAATCAAAATTTTGATTTCTAATTCCTCTCTTGATCAGTTGATCAAACGATTTCTCTATTGCGTTTATCGAGTTATAGTCCGTCGTAGTCTACTTCTCACTCAATCATTCTCAAAACATTACAATCTCACACTTTACTTATGTGTTGTCATGTTGACTGTCATTTTCGCCCCCTTATGTGTTGAACTGATGATTTTATATGCCCCTTTGTGTTGAACTCTTAACTTTGAAGTGATTAGAAGATACCAAATAATGTTTGATCAATATTAATGCTTCTGATTCTTACTTATGTTTTCTTGATCAATATTAAAGCTTCTGATTCTTATTTATGTTTTCTTTCTCATTCTCTATTTGCATTTGTTCCTATTTCTGATTTTTGTTTTTCAAAACTTTTAATTTTTTATTTTTTGTTTATTTTGGAATCAAATTTTGAAGGCAGTTTTTCCAATGCTTAGACTGAAACAGTGAAACTCAAATCTTCAAGTTTCATATTTTTCACTAAATTAGGTAAATATGTTTGTACATATTTCTATCATTGTTTATAAAACTTTTATTTTTTTGAAAATAGCACATCATCCAAGAGTGAAGAGACCTCTTTTGGAATTTTAAAAAAAAAAAAAAAAAAAACAAACTACCCTATTATCCCCAAACCACACTTATTATTCGTGTAATTTACTCGATTATAAAACTGTAAAAAATTATTTACAGCCATATATTATTATTATTAAGTTAAAAAAGTAAGAAAAGTTAAAAATCTGATTATAGCGAAATTGACATTCATAACTTTATTTGCCTTGATTACATTATCTGCATACATATCCAACCAAACCCCTCTTGACTCGTGAAAAAGAAGGGAAAAGATCGAAAATAGGAAAAGTGAAAGAAGAAGAGGGCAGTTTTTCGTTTTGAAGATTGAAGATCAGATCTTTGGGCGTGCAATTTCTGTTTTTTCCGACGTTTTATTAAATAAATATTTTCAAAGTCAGCAGATATATACTTGGAATTTCTATCAACTTGGCATCAAAATTTTCTCTCCCCAATTGGTGGTGGGGTTAGTGATACAACTATTAATAATATTATATTCACCCATTCTTCTACCAGTACGAGAATCTAGAATGTGGTCATATGTTTCGTTTATGTTGGATTAACCCGATTTATAAATCGATACTTGTGTTCTAGATTTTCTGATTTGCTGAACAAAATGGTTTCTTTTGATACGAAGAACGTTCTTGAAGATTTGTTGTCGCTGATGCTGCATGGAAGAAGAAACTAAATCTGTTCTTCGATGGTCAGGGTTTTTCCTCTTCGGTGAGTTGTTGTTGATTTGCATCTCCTGCAACACTTTGTTTGTGATGATTGTGCCCGATTTGCATTTCTTTAGGAGGGTTGGGGTCGGAATTAGAACACCCTTTGCGTCTCCTTTGAATTGAACTGTGCTATTATCAATCCGCACTTGTTTCATCGATTGTAACGAAGGGGTTTTCATCTTAATTTTGGTTTATCACTTTTGATCGATTGTTTAGTAAATAGAGGGTACATCCGGAGTGGAGACTGAGAAAATGGGATCAAACGGAAACGGGCAACCAGATGGATTGGCACGACAAGGTTCATTGTATAACCTAACTTTAGATGAGGTTCAACAGCAATTAGGAGATCTTGGAAAACCCTTAAGCAGTATGAATCTTGACGAGCTTCTTAAAAGTGTTTGGACTGCTGAAGCAAATCAAGGTATGATGACGTTGACAGGTGGGCAGGCGGATTACACCCACCATGGTCAAGGTCAACCTTCATCTCTTTCTCATGAGCTAAGAAAGCGAACTGTTGATGAAGTATGGCAAGATATCCAACAAGGTCATAAGAGTAAAAGTAATAACAATAATGCTGAGAAGAAGGGTAGTCGGGAGAGACAACCCACGCTAGGTGAGATGACATTGGAGGACTTTTTGGTGAAAGCAGGGATTGTTGCAGGAAAGAAAAATACAGGTGGTTCTGTTACAGGAGGAGTTGATTCAAATGTGGGACACGGACATCAACAGGCACCATGGATGCAGTATCAGGTTGCACCAATCCCACAGCAACATGTGTATATGACAGGGCATGGGCATCAATCTTTGCCATTGATAGAAATGGGGTATCCTGAGACACAAATGGCTATTTCTCCTTCACATTTGATGCACAATTTATCGGATACACAGACTCCTGGAAGGAAAAGAGTTGCTTCTGGAGATGTCATGGAGAAGACTGTTGAACGGAGGCAAAAGAGAATGATCAAAAATAGAGAATCTGCTGCACGCTCACGAGCAAGAAAGCAGGTAGCTACCTTTTTTTTATTAATTTTTTTTTTCCCATGTTGTAAGAGATTTGTTTGTTTGTTTATAATATGGTTGTTGAACAGGCTTACACCCATGAACTGGAGAACAAGATTTCACGCTTGGAAGAGGAAAACGAAAGACTTAAGAGACAGAAGGTATGCTTGCTTGTTTTCCAAAGTCTTCTTTTTGTTAGATTTTCATTCTCCTTAAATAATAAATATGCGAGTTTATCAAAAGAGTATTCTCTATGTTGAGCTTGAGGTTGAGTAGTTTTGGGAAATCCCTTTAGTTAATCTTGTTTTGGGTCACTAAACTGATAAAAAATGATGACATGTATGATATTCATAGCACCTAGAGAGTAGTTAGCTTGGATTGATTTTGATAATTAATGTGATATGATGTGGTTTGTATTTGCAGGAGGCAGGGAATGCTTTACCAAGCGCACCACCACCAGAACCAAAGTACCAGCTTCGAAGAACAAGCTCGGCTCCTTTCTAGCAACAATTCTTTCTTGATAGAGAGAGACAGAGCCATTTCAGTTTTTACTTTTTTTACTTTTTTACTTTTTGTTACTTGTTAGGAGACATGGTTTTGATTGATATATGGCTTCTTGTGTTTGTTTGGTACTAGTGTTGTTTCTTAGTTTAATAGTTTTGTTTGAATAGTGTATCTATCTATCGATCGATCGTGGGTGATGTGATGTGATGGATTCAGGACACCAACACTATTCCTTGTATGTATTATGTATATTGTTAAGAAGACAAGTATGAATCTTTGTAATCACAATGTCACTTCAAAGTTTTTCTTCATATAGCCTTCCAGCATTGTTTATCCCGACTTCTTTCATCTCCAAGCCACTAAACAGACGTTTAACAATCATCCATTGCAAAATCACCAAAATCCCGAAAAACCAAAATAAAGAGAAATCCCAATCTACCAATATTTTTATAAGTTATTTGTGTGGAAACAAATATGAATCAAAAATTAAAATAATTTCATAAGAATTTTGAGAAATTATATGCACTAAAATAATTAAGACGATATAAGGGCATTTATAAATATTTTTTGGGCGCGACTCAAAGAAAGCATTACCAATCCCCCCTATCCATAACTCCACCATCGTCTTCCCTTCCCTTCCCTTTCCATTCCAATGGCCGCTGCTGCTACCACAACCACCACCTTCCAGAGAACACCCACCCTCCATCTGCCCCTAACACCAAATCGCTTTGCCTCCTACTCCAAGTTCTCTTCTGCATCTTTTCAACGCAGCAGACAGTCATGGCCGACACAACTTCCTCTTATGTCCTCCAACTCCTCAATCTCTCCCTCTTATAAGTTATCTCGTCTCCCAGTTGGCTTCTTCTTCTGCTCCGCTTCTTCACACGACGAAACCCTTGTGACTGAAGATGAAAAGGGCGTCGCCACCGAAGAATTTCAATCCCAGGTACTGTTAATTTGTTTTAGGCTGGTAATTCAAATTGGCATCCGATGTTGGTGCACGTAATCTCAAAACTACTTCGCTTTTGATTGTGAATTATGTTTTCCAGATTTCAAAACCCAATTTTTATTTCCAAAACTTAACCTAGTATATGTAGAAGAAATTGGAAAATTCTCAGATTCAATATTTGCACAAACAGTGTAATGCTAATATTATGTTTTAATCAATCATCTGCAATTTCCTTTATCAAGTTTAGTTTTTTCTTCACTTATTGATTCTGTTGAACATCCTGTCCTGCTGACCAATGTATTCATAGCCGGAGGATACAGAAGACACTACTCCAGAGGTTGACTCAAGCGAGAGTGATGGTAGTGAAGTGGAAGAATCGCCTGCATCCATTTTAGCATCACTACAGTCATACAAAGAGGCATTGGCAGATAATAACGAGTCAAAAATAGCTGAAATTGAAAGTCATTTCAAGTCAATCGAAGATGAAAAGTTGGTTTTAGAAAGACAAGTGGCAACACTATCGGATGAGCTTTCAACTGCAAAAGATCGAGTTCTTAGGATAAGTGCAGATTTTGACAATTTCAGGAAAAGGACAGAAAGGGAACGAGTCACATTGGTAGCAAATGCTCAAGGTGAAGTTGTTGAGAGTCTTTTGGCTGTTTTGGACAACTTTGAAAGAGCTAAAGCACAAATAAAAGTGGAGGGTGAAAAAGAGGAGAAAATTAATAACAGCTACCAGAGTATATACAAGCAATTTGTGGAGATTTTAGGCTCTCTTGGTGTTGTTTCTGTGGAAACAACCGGACAACCATTTGATCCATTGGTAATTCCTCTTTTTCTTTTTTTCACATTAAGTGTTGTTGTCTGGATAACGATAAATATGATGCTAAAAATAAAGTGAAGAAAATGATTAGCCTACTTGATCATTGGCTGCAGGCAAATCCCAGAGCCAGAGTTGGCTCGAAATTCAGTCGAGTACTTGATGATCTTTTTCAAAGGATGGAAAAACTTTATTCAGGTTTTATCAAGACCTAAAAATACATGTTTTTAGCTCAAACCAAGTCTTGATTGATTCGAGCTAACTCACTCAAAACTCAAAAGTTGGCTCCTGTGTGGTTGGTGTGCCACTTGAAGTTTGTTGTTGATCTGATTATTTTCTTTCATTCATTTTGGCATGTCACTCATTGGGTTGACATTGTGTTATTGAAAACCTAAATACCTTGTGACATAATTTAAATTCTCTTTCATTAATGGGAAATAGTTCCTCTTTTATCTATATGTTGAGAAATTGTAATGGTTGTAGATTACTGGTTTTGACATTTGTCTTTTTGAATGTAAAAGCTGCATGAAGCAATTATGCGTGAGGAGTCAACCGAATATGATGAAGGTGTGGTAATTCAAGAATTTCGCAAAGGGTTCCGAATTGGTGAGAGGCTTTTGCGTCCATCAATGGTGAAAGTTTCTGCTGGGCCAGGACCTGGAAGCACTGAATCAGTGGGCCCATCAGAACCTGAGGGTCAAGCTCCAGAAGAAGAAGAAGAAGTCCAGTCAGAATCATCTGCAGCTCAGGAAGAATGAATGATAAGAGAGTTATTATATAAATTCAGTTAGTGAACCTGAACCCATTGTTTTACTTTGCAGGAGGGGTGTGTCGTGCCTTTGCCTCCTGTAGTTAGGGATTGAAATCAGTCTTTTTGCAAACAACTGTCATTATAATGCTTTTCTGTTATACTTTTGACATATTTTTGGTTCCATGTTCCTTGGTTCTTGACTTCTTGTCTATTACTGTTATACTGTAGGGTTTATGACTTATGTCATGGAATGACAACCAATTTATTACTAATTTGCTTTTTAGGTCACTAGAGTTCAAAGATTGTTGCTATTGCTACTAAGCAACAAATCTTGGTTTTATAACACCATCTATACTGAATTGGCTGTTTCGCAGATTGCCAACATACATGGGTAACATGGCATATACTATGCTACAAAATTTATTACTAATTGGTTTTATGAGGTGGTAACTTCGTGCTTTACATCCCTTTTCTTATGGATCACAAACATTGAGTACTTGAAACTCTTATTTTGGTGTAGAAGTTCTTCCCTAATACAGACTTCTAGCACCCTTTTGTTCCCCATTTATTTTGGCCCCCTTTTGCTCCCCATCGAATTTGCACCATATTCTGTAAATATGCATTAAAATGTGACCCTTTTTAATCTAAGGTCGACTTCTAAACATCCTACCTAGCATTCAACTTCGACCCTTATAAGTCTTATTTCTACTTAGGAAGTCACACAGGTTGTTTGACGTTGCAACCTATCCATAAGCACTCTCTCCCATGGTTTCATCGCATGGCTAAAAAACTTTAGATCTCGATAGTTGCACCAACTTTGGGCATCACATTTATTATTATAAAGAATCACAGTATTAAACCCCTCCACTCTTGTGGCATCTTTTAATGGTCTTTAAGAGAGTGCTAAAAGGGTTGTCAGACATTCTCAACTTCACATTCTCACACATAGGATGACACATATATGTCATGTATGTTATGCAACTGGCAAAACAAACAATTGTTGATCTAGATAGTTTAATAAAGCCAAAATTCACTGTTTAATTGTCATGGTGTCATTTTTAAAACTTTAGGGACCCAAAGAATAAATTGGTAATAACTCGTCTTCATTTCATGACATTACCTCATTCATGCAAGATAACAAAAAAAAGGCAAAAAGGAGAAAACACAAGCCAAGGTATATAAATCTTTCAACTACATAACTTTACACTCGCAATACAAGAGACACACCAATGGTCCATAGACCCCCGAAACCACCCCTAACCTTAATCAAGCAAACTTTACAAGTCAACCAAAAATGAATACATCAGACCAAAAACACCCCTGAACAAACACTCAAAAGAACACAAAATTTTCCACCAAAAAATCCATAATTTCAAAACCCAACTGCAGAAAGCCTCACTGAGCAAAACTGAAACTAATATAGAGTAGCTTAGTACATCATCTCCAATCAAAACCCCAAACCATATTTATATATAAACTGCTGCATTCCTTCTCATTCTTTATCCGTATTACTTGTGCTTGATGCATTCTCTGTTCCATGGTTAACCATTGAGGCACTAGCAAAATTAGACTCGGTTTCTTTGGGCAATGCCAATAATTCATTGGTATTGTTGTTGGTCAACTTTGTCTTGAATGCTTCAGCTTCAGAAGCACCTGCAACCTCGATGTTGCTACTTTCCTTCTCATTCTGGGACTCCAGTACTTGTTCTTCATCCATATTAAGTTTTGTCTTGGAAAGATTAATGGGGTAAAGATCTTCATCAGCAGAAGGGTTGGTTTCAAGAACATGTTCCAAGGCCTGTGGTTCCTGTTTCATCTCATTCAAAGCAGATTCAACAAACTTGGAGAAAGCGTATTCATCTACAGAATAGAAAGTTTCAAGAGCATGCCCCGAGGCCTCTGGCTTCTGTACTCTCATCTCATTCAAAGTTGATCCTATAGCCTCTGAGTAAGATTCTTCATCTTCAGAAAGCTTGGTTTCAAGATCATCCAAACTTAATCCCAGATCCTTGGAGTAAGAATCCTCATCTCCAGAATGTTTGGTTTCAATATCATGCTCAGAGGCATCTGGGTCCTGTTTCATCTCCTTTAAAGTGGATCCCAACACTTCATCTCCAGAAAGCTTGGTTTCAAGATCATGTGGGTTCTGTTTCATCTCATCCAAAGTTGCTCCTAAATCTTCAGAATGTTTATTAGTTTCAAGATCACGTTCCAAGGAATGTGGGTTCTGTTCCAATCCTAAATCCTTGGAATAAGAATCTTCATCTGCAGAACACTTGGTCTCAAGATCATGTGAGTCCTCTTTCTTCTCATTCAAACTTGATTCTTGATCCTTGGGATAAGAATGTTCATCTCCAGAATGCTTAGTTTCAAGATCATGCTCCAAAGCATGTGCGGGCTGTTCCATCACATTCAAGACTGATCCTAGGTCCTTGGAATAAGAATCTTCATCTGCAGAAAGCTTAGTCTCAAAGGCATGTGGATCATGTTTCATCTCATTTGAAGTTGATACTAAATCATTGTTGACACTGAAATCGCCTACAGCATCCAGTTCCACAAGAAAAGTTTCATCCATCTCATGAATCTCATCTACATCCTCAATGTTATCAGGCACATCGGGATCCACTCGCTTTCCTGGTTCTTCAGTTTCAACCACATCAAATTTAGCATTCAATACAGAATCAATGCTTCGTGAAATGTCATTCTGTGGTTCTTCTATCTGCAAATTGTCCAAGTTGTTGCTAGTGATTTGCACCTGGAAAGAAAGTTATTCTTACGATTGTCAGTCTCATATTCATCCAATGACAAAAGATAC